AATATGAAGAGATTCAGAAAAAGCATGGAAACATTACGAACTTTGTGGGTTTAGAAGGAAGTTTTTCAATACAATCGCGAGAAGTGCAAGAACTGACCATCCCCCAGCAACTGTAGAAGGTCACAAATGACAACAATTGGTGGAAAACAGTTCGGCGCTACGCCAAACCCTTCTTTTATCCCCCTTCCCCATTTCCCCCGCCGGACGCGCTCCAGCCCTCCAACCTCCGACCTGATCCCAATCTTGCAATATCTTGCAAAAGTTTGTGCGATAAGGAGTCGCTTCTCTGCCATGTACCTCAACAACACATTCCGCGATCGTTAAAAAGGCGGAGAAATGGGTGAGTAGGGCTCCCCAACATTGCGTTGTGTTCATTGTGCCCCGGTTTTTCCACCCGTATTGGAACCAAGAGGAAGAGGATGCCATGGGCGATAGAAGGATCGTGTGGCCCCGCCCATTACTCCCTGCATCTGGTCATCGTGGAATGGGCCTTTGACCGACTACTTTTTCAGTACCATCTTCTGCGGAATCCTTATAAAAGAGGAACGTACCTCACAGCAGTCCGTACATTTAGGTTTGTGGTTGATCGTGAAGAATGGTGTGCCAGCTGGTATTTCATTTTTGCACTTTTGACACGGAACCTGAAGAGAAAAGTTCCCGTTTCAGAAGTTGCTTATAAGCGTATCGGTGATGAACTGTTTTTGATCAAACGGCTCTTCAGGATGCGCTGGAGACATAACGGATTTCACCTAAGGGCGGGTGGCAATGATGCACGAAGCTCATACGCTGATAATCTCATGTTTTCCATGGCTCCCTTTCAAATTTGCAGTAGCTTCTCAACACATACTGTGGTTCTATTTTTGCGAATTCTCAGAACCATTCTCCACTGCGAAGTGTTGGATACAGTGCATGCCATGCACTATGAAAACCACAGTGCGAGAGGAGATACAGGAGAGAGGGTCGGATGGAAAAGAATTTCCCTCACGTTCCAAGCTCTTCATGAGTGGAAGTCACTGTTCTTCAGCCAAAGTTCAAACTCACTCTACTATCAATTCTGAAGGGATGAAAAACATCATCGCCTGAGGCGACATTCAATCCAAGATCATGCGTCACTCTACCTACCCCACGGGCGCAGTGGTATCTTGCTATGCCTTAAAGGCAGTTGGCACGATGGTTTCCCACTCGGCCTAAAATGCTAGTAGGGCGCTATGTAGTGGGGAAATGGCGAAAGAACGGAGTGAAACGGTCAAAATCCGGCGAAGAAAAGCCTCCGTTCTCAGTGACTTGTAAATCGATTTCGGACGAGTTTCCCGTACGCATCTTGCCAATCACCGCTACCGAAGATACGGCTGCATATGTGTACCCATGTATGCATGCAGCATCACGGCTTCATACCAATCCGCTTCATAATTTTGGGCTTAGGGAAATGAATGAATAACGAGCGTCAGGTAACGGTTCGTCCATAATTGTGCGCGGTGGGCCGAGGAAGGCGTTTGGACGGAATGTTGTTGGAGGCGCCTTGTCGCGAGGTCCACGAGAATTCCTGTTAGCAGATCGTAATAAATTTAACATCTGTCATAGCGATTCTATCGTGCCAACTGGGCGTTTAAGCAAGTGGGCTCGACAAATAAGTAAGAAGTGTAGGATAAATACGCCTGGCAGTAAAGAATTTGGTGGCCCTGAAGCGCTACAATGGCTTGGGCAAGGAAGAAACTCCTAAAGCGCGCCGTTTTTTTTTTTATGTTTCTTTTTTTTTTTTTGGTATTTCGTTCAGGCTGCGACATCCCCCCCCTGGACATCCACCGCGCCGCGGTCTACAAATGGACGACCGATGCTGACTCATATCGCTTCATTGCAAAGCACAGTAGAAGCGAAGGGATTGATATGGAGGGCCTGCAGCGCTGCATGGATATATGTGTAGAAACGTGCAGTCATAACGGCTAACGGCTTTTTGGCAGCGGATTGCGGAAACTCGTACGGAGAAGCTGTTTTTTTGAAGTGCATGGCAAAGCAAAGGCTTGTTTCGCAGGTTCTTGGACGGGTCTCACTTCTCTTATGCCCTTAAAGGCACGATGGAAACGATAATCCCCATAGACCAGCAGGATCAATAGGACCTGGCGGAACGGAATTCCGACCGACGCATTGAGCAGGGCTGGCATAATGACCTTTTCCAGGGAGGTGCCCTTATAAGGGCCCTATCAAGCCAACTTTACGTCCCAAACGCCCGCCACGCCCGCCCGCCCACAAATGGACGACCGTTCCTGACGCTCGTATTCATTCATTTGCTAAGCAAATTATGAAGCGAAGGGATTGGTATGAAGCGGCTTGTGCTGCATGCATATATGGGTACACATATGCAGCCGTATCTTCGGTAGCGGTGATTGGCAAAATGCTACGGGAAACTCGTCCGAAATCGATTTACAAGTCACTGAGAACGGAGGCTTTTTCTTCGCAGGATTTTGACCGTTTCACTCCGTTCTTTCGCCATTTCCCCACCAAGTCTACTAGCATTTTAGGCTCAGTAAAGGCGAACATCGTGCCAACCTGCTTTAAAAAACTCTAGGGGTCAGTAAAGACTATCCGTTGGCCTAGACACCCGAGAATCAGGATCACTACACCATTTCCTCCTAGAAATCCGTATCGTCTGAGCAGTATGAATTCAGTCAATACGTGGAGGTGCGGCAAATTTGTGAATCATTTTAGATGCTGTTCCTTTCATCTGCAACATAACTAGTAGCTACACTAGCTATCACGCTACAAGCTTATGACATGGGCACCTTTCAGCAAGAATAATAGTCTTGTTTGGTAGCCCATGGTACAGTAGTAGAACTGAGCACGGCAAAACTCTACCAGGAGTTGGCGAAGTTTCATCCTGACATTGGTAATCAGACACTAAATATAAGTAGCTAAGTTGGATTACTACGAGGGCGCTGAACATTCAAAGTAATAAGGACGCAAAAACAAATAGAGGATCCAAAGCACCCTTCGAAAAGGGGCTGTTCGGGGGGGGGGGGGGGGCATTTTTTCAATTCCAATAGGTTTCTTTTTGCTGATTTTTCTTTCAAAGTAGCGCTCCCTTGGAGAGACCCGTAGACGCTTTACAAGTGGGAACGAACATCTTGCTGCAGCAAACATTCACAGGATTTTTTAGGTCTAAACCGGAAACATGGGTTGATCTATGTGAACCAGCAAAATGCCCCCACCAAGCCAAACCCGCTTCATTTTCCTTTAGAAATTTACATCCGGGAAGTTGTTCTGTTTGTCTGCTGTAAAACAAAAGTTTGGTCTATGCAGCGGTTGAAGAAGACTGAACGTGTCACTGAGGATCACACTGGCGTTAATGACCGTGATCTGAGACATCACTGAACAAGAAACATGTAGGTATCCGCTTGTCATTGACGTGTTATTTAAGCACACATCTCATTACACATGTAGATGACGCGTCATCCCTAACTCTAGCTTGCTTCAATACAGCCCCAAGCCTTGACTAAGCCTCAGCCCAAGCCATTGACGTGTAATTTCACTGACATGATGGAGGCCTATCAGTACCTAGGTGTTACACCCAGCTTGCCTCCACACTGTTGAAGCGGCAAGCGCACTGGTGGTGGAAAGAGCTGGCGTCGACGCACCCACCCAGCCTGACACGGATTCGGGCGCCTGTAAGCGAAAAACATAGATCTAATTTATGCCAAACTGAAGGCCGAATGTCATTAAATTGTTCCCGACTTGTTCACAAATGAGAAGAACCTACAATACAGCAGTCCTTGCATTTTGGTGCATTGTTAACCTCATAGAACTTGTTTCCAGCAGGGATCGTTCTGTTGCATTTCTTGCAAGGGACCTAAAACTTTCACCTTCCATCAAAGTAACAGCCATTCAGAACATATTGGAAGTCATCGCTGTAGCGGGATTCATAAAACCCTACCGGTTCTGAAGCAGTTTTCGGTTCGGGTTTCTCTGCCTGTAAGAAAAACATTTCGCAATAACCGATTGGCTCACGACAAAGTGGTACGACTGCATTCAGGGTAGAATCTCAACTCATTCTTCGTGGTTTGGAACATAAAATTTTTAAAACCAAAACATCTCAGTTTCGAAGGTAAAGCCCGGGTTAGAAGTTGAAAATGTGGCTCTGAGAGGGTAGACCAGCAATCCGGTGCGGCAAATGTAAGGAAGAGGCGCTATCGCGCAATATAGGTTCAGTGACGCCTCCTTTTTCCAGTGACTCCGCCTCCAGACTCCGCCCTCAAGGCCCGCCTTTCAGTGAAAAACGAAGCTGCAGGACGAAAAAGCATGAAAATCGTCACTTGTACGGTCGTAGAGTTCTTATCGGGGAATCAGCTGTGCGGATGGGGCGTAATATTGGAAATGGAGTTAATTGGGCACGTACAAACTGGGATCGGAATGGGGTTCTATCTAGGGCAGTTGGCATGTTTTTTTCTGCTTTTTTCACTATCGAGTTACTCAGCACTTTGTCTCTATATGAAATCCTTAACCCACTATCCATGATGTAGAATGATCCCGGGCCTGCCTTTAAGGACTGCATTCCTAGCCTCTACAACTCCTGTTGTACCCTCCTTATTCAAAGTAGAGAACTCAGTCACAGTGACAATGAAACGCTCAAGGGATCAACTATATAGTCACTCGAGTTTCGCACAAATAACTTACCGGTGTTGGCGCCATTGGTGATGACTTT